CAAGCTAATGGTTGGGAGTTTTGACAGTGATGAGGAGTTGTATGAATTTTATGATGAATAAAACTTGAGTTCAATAACTTTATGTAATGCATTTTTTTTTCAAATTTTGGGCCCCAAAATTAAGGTGCGTTTTATACATGGGAGAATCTTGTTATCTGAGGAAATATGGTATAAACCCTATCCCTGAAACCAGAGGCCAAATCAATCCGGGGCTCATGCTGCCTGTGCTGCTTAGCCAATAGATTGACACAGGAGTTGGGTCATAGGATAATTGTTTATCAGAGAACCAGTGACCTGAGAAGGCAGAGGGTTAACACCTCCAAGAACTGCCTTAACATTCTCAGTCTGGCTGGAGTATTTAAAGAAAATCTGGGTGCTCCTCCAGAGGCCACACGATAGTTCCAGGGGTCTGCATAGAGCCTTCCCTCTAGCAATGTGGCTCCCCTTCATGGTCATCAACCCAGAAGCAGTGATGACAGTAACCTGGAAAGAATGCTAGGCCATAGAGTTTGTGATCAGTAAGCATGGGGGTATTCTAATCAGTAAGCATAGGGTATTGTGACCAGTAAGCAAGCATGAGTGTCAGGGTAATTATCTAAAGCAGGAAACTGGGACAGGGGACATTCTAAATTCAGGAACTGGTACAGGGAGGATGTTGATCAATTATTAAGCTCCATGGCAGAGAGAGGCAAGGCCAGGGACAATGCAAGGCTTCTTTTGTGGGGGTCCCAACAGGGCCCTGTTTCAGCCCGACAGGCAGAGGGTGGGGGTCTCTCTTCCACTAGCAATTAGAGAATACAACTATCTGTGGACTGGCCTTTTCTTATTCTCTGCTTAGTAAACTTATTTTCACTTAAACTCTGTACCAGCTCACGTTTGAATTCCTTTTTATTTTTTATAAGATTTTATTGGGGAATTGGGGGAGGGGAACAGTGTTGGGGAATTGGGGAGGAGGACCAGCCAAGTTGTTTTTCAATCTTTGTTATGGAGGGTGCCAGTCGCCATCTGGCTTCCTGTCAGCATCTAGAGGTCAGCATTCTCGTGGCCTCTAAGCTCAAGGTGCTGTGTTCAATCTTAGTTGAGGGTGGGTGCAGCCACCATCCCATGCGGGAGTTGAACCAGCAGCCTTGGAGTTAAGAGCGCATGCTCTATTCACTGAGCCATCCGGGCAGCAGCTCAGCTCAAGGTGCCGAGTTCAGTCTTAGTTGTAGGTGGGCATAGCCACCATCCCATGCAGGAGTTGAACCCAGCAGCCTTATTGGTAAGAGCACAGGCCCCATCCACTGAGCCATCCAGGCGGCAGCATCCTGCTACCTGTTGGCAGCTCAGCGACAGTTCTGCTCCGGCGCAGCGTCACTGGCCCATGTGGGAATTGAACCGGAGGTCTTGTTGCTCAGAGCTTGCGCTCTTAAGCCAACTCTTAACCAACTGAGCCACTAGGCTGGCCCCCTCACGTTTGAATTCTTTATTATGTGAAGCCAAGAATGCTTTTAGCCCAGGGTATGGGTCTCCACTCAGGATCCCCCCTTTCCAGCATCAATGGAAGGAGGCTAGACTTTAGGTGATGAGAACACGATAGAGAACATGGATGTTGTATTATAAAGTTGTACCCCTGAAATTTACATGATGTTAGTAACTAACATTAATCCAATAAATTTAATAATTAAAAAAATTAAAAAGCCTATATCATAGACAAGTGTTTCAAGCTTTTTAGTCTCAAGACTTCTTTAGTCTTTGTAGACAGAAAAGGAGTCACAGGTTAAACCTGACAAACTCAGGAGATTGAAAATAACCACATAGGAGGGTGTGAACATAAAAATTCCTAACTAAGGCAGGCCATGGCAGGAAGTCACATCTTTAGCCTGTGGTTTCCTTTACAAAGGTCAATCTTTACCTTACATGAGCCTGTCTATTGTCTTTTTGCATCTGGAATAACATGCCCTTGGAATGTCAGTAATCCCTTTTTCCGGACAGAGCAGGAAACTACAGAATCCCTCAATATTATTGTTGTCCCCTGATTATCATCTCTATGTGCTGTAAAAAGTGAACTATTAACTATCCTGTACCCACCTACATGAAAGAAGTACCTGTCTCTCCAATTTACTTTTATCCAGTCCCAGAGATTTTCCTGCTTTGCTTTCTCCCACTCCCTTAATGTAACTCTCCTCCTTTAATTCTATGTATAAAAATAAGCTGCAAACTGCCTTTTTGTAGAGCATTTTCTCAATCCATTGAAATTTTGCTTCCCAGCAATTGTCAGTCAGTTTGGCTCAAATAAACTCTTATAAGCTTTTTCTCAGGCTGGATGTTTTTTCATTGACATCTTTAAAATAATTGAGGACCCCCAAATAGTTTTTGTGGGTTCTTTCCATCAATATTGCATATTAGGAATAAATACTTTAAAAAGTATTTTATTAATTTAATTTTTTAAAATAAATTTATTGTAGGGCCGGCCGAGTGGCTCAGTTGGTTAAGAGCTCGCTCAAGAGTTTGAGCTCTGAGCAACAGCGGTTCGATGCCAGCCCGAGCTGAGCAGCCGCTAAGCTACCAATAGGTAGCAGGATGGCTCAGCTAAAAAAAAATAAATAAATAAAAATAAATAAATAAATAAATTTATTGTATGTTAGGGGTTGAATTGTGTACCCTGGAAATTCATATATTGAAGTCTTAACCCCATACCTCTGTTAGAAAAGGCCCTAGTCTCTTCTGTCAAAGACAGCAAAGCTTAAAAATATACTTCCTCTTTCTCACCATTGTTTAGTAGTTTCAGTTAAAAATATACTTTCTCACTATTATGTAGTAATTCCTCATTTTTAAGGTTACTTAATTTTCTAATTAGGCAGATCTTGCTTTTCCATTAGCCAATCGGTTTAGATTGTAAGGTCACGCTCTCATCAATAGAGTACAACATAGTGGAACCCGCGTTAGGGATAAAAACTGAGTGGACTTCCCATTCAGTGTGCTTGCCAGACCGGCTTACAGTGGTTCTGCACGCTTCTGCAGAAGTAAAGTTTGCCTTGCTGAGTTACTTTTAACTTCATGTGGCTTTCTTTGTGCCACGGCTAAAGTCTGTTCCCAACACCTCAGAATGTGAACTTATTTTGAGATAGGGTATCTGTAGAGGTAATTAAGTTAAAATGAGGTCACTAGGGTGAGCCATGCTCCCATACGACTGGGGTCCTTATAAAAAGGAGCAATTTGGAGACACAGGCATACAGAGTAGTCTCATTTTGTCACCTTGTTTTTGACCCTCTTTACCCCTCTGGTAGAAATAATGTTTAAAGTACAAGGCAGTAGGAACCCCAAAGACAAAATGGGGAAGTCCCAGGCCTCCCCTTGCGCACTTCCAGGCAGGAAGAGCAGGCCTGGCTTCACACCAGCCCATCTCATCCCAGCGTGAGACGACTGTGGGTCCGGACTCCGCAGGGTGGGAGGCCCGTTCCCCGCCATCCAGGGACCATTCTGTGCCCTTCAGCTTCCGGAGAATCGCAGGCCACACTCCCAGTGGGCCCCACCCGTTTAGGATCGCCCCTATTGGCCAAAGGTGGGCAAAGGCCCTCATTGGTCGAAGGTTCAACTAACGAAGGCTCTAGTGAGCAGCGCCCGCCGCTCGGCCTTCTGGGAGTTGTAGTCGCAGCGTCTCTGGCGCGGTCGCCATTGTCCTGCTGGGTGGCGGATCAGGCAGTTCTTGTGGCGGGGGTGGCTCTCGGATTTAAGGTCGTCCCAGGTCCCTGTTTTTGACCTGTCGGTCCAGGATGGACTCCGAGGAGGACGCCGCACCATTGGCGATGGCTACAGGGCCGTCCGCGGAACGGCTTCAGGTAACAATAACAATAACAACGATGGCAGCGGCCCCTGGGCCAAACGTCTCCCGCAAATATTGACCCTTAGACCCTCGCAGCGCGTGGTTAGCAGGGCACCGGCGTTATCTCCACTTACGCAAGGGGAAACTGAGGCACAGGTCGGGGCACGCTAACTGGCATGACTGGTAAGGGGAGGGTTCGGAATCGAACCCCAGCCATATGGTCCCCGAGTGCGCATGCCCAGCTGATACTCTGGCCTCCCCTTCTCAGATGGAGCTTTGGGTCATTCTGGAGGACAGGGCTGGGCCCAGCTACTGCCAATCCCCTTTCTCGCCCCGAAGACCAGCCACCATGATGATGGTTAATAGAACGCCGAGGTGGTAGGTATGGAGTCAATAGAAACGAAGCCTCTGGCCTGGGGACAGGGCACAACCACTGGGGGTAAGGAGAAATCACCGCGCACCACGTTAGTCGGGTGGGAACGACTACCAGGACCCCCAATACCACCCCTCGGGGCTGTGGGGGAACTGCAGTGCAGGGCGGTCAGTACTTGCAAGGCCGTTTGGGAAGGCCCTGATTCAAAGCTCCAGCTTTGAATTTTAGACGAAGTGGCCGCCGCCTGTGTTCTCCATAAAGTTGTCTCCACGTTGGCAAAAATAATTAATGATTCCTGAAACACCTTTGAAATTAAGTACTTTTTGTATTTTGTTGTTTATACGGGTCGGCATTATTTCAGATTTGGTAGGCACAGTGAGATTATTGATAATTTTAGACTTGTATGTTTTCAGATGTGCATTTTGTGCACAGATTTGCACAAAATGTAACCACCCTTAGTTTGCTTTTGCTGTGGATGTTGGAGCAGGAAGTGAGCAGTGTCAAAGAAAATCAGCTGGACAGTAGCTAAAGCAGTAAATACAGATTTTATCAGGAATTGTTGCAGTAAACAGACTTCAGTATAGAATTGGGCTCAATTCTGAGTACAAGGAAAAGTGAGCCTTTATAGTGGGGACGGGGGGGATTCTTGCTGAAGCAGGCCAAGTGATCAGATATTACCTAGACAACTGTGGGGATGAGAACTTTGAAAAAGATATTGAGAGTGATCAAAATATGGAGGGTAGGGATCCTTGCTAAACCGACTTGACAGGCTTTTTGGTAAAACTGGCTGATGCAGAAATGGACACAGGTCCCTAAAGGTCAAGGCCTAGGTGAGAAGAGGGTTCAGAGGAGCCAGAATAAAGTTTGATCAAGCAGAGTATTTATCAGCAGTAAGAGAGGCTTAAGAGGAAGTGTGTTAGTTTTCTGTTGCTGTGTAACAAATAGTCCAAACACATGGTGGTCTAAAATAATAATAAGTATTATCTCACAGTTTGGTGATAGGAACCCTGGAATGGCTTAGCTGGTGGTTCTGGCCTGGGCCCATGAGGTTATAGTCAAGATGTCAGCCTGGACTGCTCTCACATGAGACTTGACTGGGGCTAGAAGAGCCATCTCCAAGACGGATCACTCACATGACACTTAGGTTGGAAGCCTCAGTTCCTTCCCATATGGGCCTCTGTGGGGCTTCTTGAGTGTTCTCACAACATGGCATCTCACTTCTCACAGAGCAGGTGATCCAGGAGCGGGCAAGGTGGAAGGCACAATGCCTTTTGTGACCTCAGGTCAGAATTCACACTCTGTCATTTCCACAGTATCCTATCAGTTACACAAATCAAACCTGCTCAGTATAGGAGGGGACTACACAAAGTTGGACTCATTGAGACCACCTTGGACTGTGGCCACCGCAGAAGCCAAGGAGCAGAAGTGGAGAGCTTTGAGGTACAGTGTATTAGCTTTCTGTGGTTGCTATAACAGATTACCACAAACTTGGTGGCTTAAAACAATACACATTTATTCGCACAGTTCTGGAGGTCAGAAGTCTGAAATTAGTTTAACTGGGTTGGAATCAACGTGTGGGCAGAGCCATCCTTCCTGTGGAGGCTCCAGGGGAGAATCTGTTTCCTTGCCTTTTCCAGCCATTAGAGCTGAAGACTGCATTCCTTGGCTCCTGGCCCTTTGTCCACCTTCAAAGCCAGCAGCATAGCATCTTGCTTTAGTGGTCACATTATCATCTGCATTCTCCAATTAAATGTCCGCCTGCTTCCCCCTGAGAAGGACATTTGTGATTACATTTAGGGGCCCATCTTAAAATCCTTAGTCAACGTCCACAAACTCCCTTTTGCCATTTACGGTAACTAATTCACAGGTTCCTGGAACTAGGACCCAGATATCTTTGGGGGCCATTATTTAGCCAACCATAGCCAGGCTGAAAGGGGTCAACCTGTATCCAAAGGTGAAAAGGAGCCTGAGGGGTGGGAGTTAGAGAGATACTGAGTGTTAACTAAGGAATGGGGAGGGCGGACGGACGGACAGTAACAAGATGCTGGCTGACGCCAGGTGGTCGCATCAGCTCTGGGAGACTGCGTGGGTCTGACACAGCCCATCCCTCCAGGCCCTAACAGTGCAGAGCAAGAGGAGGGCTGCAGGGGACAGAGGTAGACCAACAGCGAGAGTCACAAGACAGCAAGGAGTGGGCTCCTGGTAGAATTCCAGGAGGAGACATGAAGGACTCATGTGATGCCATAGAGAGGCCTTGTGGCCTGGACAGACCAGTAGTCAGGGGACCCGGTGCCTGGACTGTCACTGCAACCCAAGCAGAGCGGGTGATGGTGGGTGGGCGCAGGAGGCGCGGGAACCGTGTGTCAGAGTTGAAGGACCTTCTGAGTGGGAAGTGGGGGTATGGGGACAGGAGCAGAGCCCTCTGTTCCCAACCACAAGCTTCTGCATTTTGCCTGCACAATTTTTGTCAGAGCCACATGCCACCCTAATGTTTTTTAAATCTACTTATGTTTTTCTTTAAAGAAAATACCTGTTAAAATTGAGGTATTTGATATGTGATTTGGTTTCCATTTCCCTGGTGGTTAATGATGTTGAGCATCTTTTCTTGTGGTTATTTGCTATTTGTATGTTTTCTTTCGTATCTTCTTTGAAGAAATATCTGTTTAGATCCTTTGCCTGTTTTATTTAGGTTGCCTTTATTATTGAGTTGTAAGAGTTCTTTGTATCTTCTGGATACCAGTCTTTTTTTATCAGATGTGTGATTTGCAGTTAGTATCTCCCATTATGTGGGTATCTTTTCACTTTCTTGATATAGTGTCCTTTGGAGCACAAAAGTTTTTAATTTTGATAAAGTCCAATTTGTTTATTTTGTTGGTTGTGCTTTTGTTGTTCTAATAATCCTTTGCCAAATCCAAGGTTATGAAGATTTATCCCTGTCTTTTCTTCTAAGAGTTTAATAGTTTTAGCTGTAACATCTTCGGTCTTTTATGAGTTAATTTTTTTTTTTTTTAGATTTTTTATTGGGGACTTGGGGGGATGGGGACAGTGCTGGAAAATTGGGGGAAGGGGAACAGACAAGTTGCTGTCCTTTTTGTTCTTCAGTTTAGTTGTGGAGGACGTTGCTTCGCTGGCCCAAGTTGGCACCATCATTGCGCTCTTCCCAGGCGAGGCACATCAGTCGCCGGCTTCTGGATGGCCGCTCACTGCAGCTGCTGGCCACTCACGCTGGCCTCTGGCTACATACAGTAGCCCATGGCAACCCACCGCCACAGGGGCTGCAGCCTACGCCGTTGCTGGTGACTCATAGCAGCCCAGCTCCAGGTTGAGCTGTTGTTCAGCATCTTAGCTGTAGAGGGCAGTGTCACTGGCCCTCATATGTGGGATCTGAACCGGGGCCCCCTGGTGTCCCAAGCCAGCTCTTAACCATCGCGCCACTCGGCCGGCCCCGAGTTAATTTTTATATGGTGTGAGGTTGGAGACCAACTTTATTTTGCATGTGGTTATCCAGTTGTCCTGTAGGAAGCGCTTTACAACCCCTTAGTCCCCATCACAGTCCCAAGGAGACAAGGAAACGAGATAGAGGTGGGTACCTGTTCCATGCTTCTTGAGAAAGTGGCAGAGCCAAGACTGTTCCAGAAATATCTAGTTTTTTCCATGGCCACAGCCAGCCCACAAAAGGATTTCATTTATGGAACATGTTTTAATATATCGTATCAATTTATAAAAATTAAAAGTTTTCACTGAAAAGCATAATCTAATTTTCAGCTTCTCTCCAGAGATTAGCAGCTCTGACCACATGAGGCCTATATTTTCTCACAATCAATTGGTTCTGAGTCCCAGGTGCCCCTTCAGACAGGGCACATATTACCTGTCATTTCCAGCGTCACCTCTCACGGGTTAAATACCTTGGTAGGCTCTTACACTGGCCCACTTCAGTTACTTGTAAGCCTACTTGGTCACTGAAGGCAGGTGAGTCTCTGACTCTTAACTGTACACCCCTCTTTTCAGAGAGGATTAGGAGCCTTGCTTGAAATCTGAGGATTAGTGTATCAGTTAGCTGTAGCTGAGAAACAAATTGTCTTAGTTTGTTAGAACAGTACCTAGTGCCTTTAGATACTGACCATTTCTTTAGCCCACAGATGTGCAAGTCAGCAGTTTAGACAAGTGTCTGTCGGCACCCTCACCTGAGATCAGTTGTAGGTCAGCTATGGTTAGCTTTGATCTTGCCTGGACACTCTCACATGTCCCCACTGTACAACCCACACCTACACGGAGCAGCCCAGTGGTGCCCAGCGAGACCTGACTCATGTCGCCCAGAACATACACTTTCTCAGGACACTGGCCTGCCCACCTTCTCTGTCCTCATTCCTCCTCCTCTTCCTGAGAGCACTGATGGAAACAGTCCAGCTGATCAAGCGCTTGTGTGAAGTTTCAGGAGCCGGTGACCTTCCGGGACGTGGCTGTGGACTTCACCCAGGAGGAGTGGGGGCAACTGGGCCCTGCCCAGAGGACCCTGTACCGTGACGTGATGCTGGAGACCTTTGGGCACCTGCGGTCTGTGGGTAAGGCCCACTTCCAGAGCTGATGATCAGATTCCTGCAGTAACTTATTCTTTATGGGTTATAGGTTTTAAGGCCTGTGGTATGAGGACTTCACCTCGGGTTGGAGATCAGGGACCTTGTGTCCTCCTTCCCTATATGACTTGTGGACAGGGGCGTGTCTGCCCTTTTCTGTCCCATTGTAAAGCCTTCACCGTGTTGTGAGGTGTCCTCATGTCCTGATGATCAGGAGTCCAGGACGGGAGACTGAGCTGGTTCTTACTCTCTAGAGCAGACCCCCACATCCTTTGTCTTTCCCTGTTTCTAGGGCCTGAGCTTCCCAAACCCGAAGTCATCTCCCAGCTAGAGCAAGGAGCTGAGCTGTGGGTGGCGGATAGAGGAATCACCCAGGGCTGCTGTCCAGGTGAGAACCCGCCAAGTGGGAACCCCTATTGGGAGTAGCCTGGGGGGTGACTGTAGGTGCGCTGCTTGGGAAGGGTGGTGTGTCGGGGTTCCTGAGACCATCCTCAGATCCAGCAATTACAGCAAAAGGTTACAGGGCACAGTCAGCAAAGGGAGAAGGCGAATGGGGCGCAGTCCAGAGAAAGCCGGGCTCAAGGTTCCAGTCCTGCCCCAGTGGTGCTAAATTTACGGTGAGTTGTCACAGCACCAAAGGAAGCTAACACAGCTTTGCTTCTCTGCACTGTAAGAAGGGGTGAGCCTGTGCATACCTGAGGGGCGGTCCTTACTCTGGATGGTTCAGCACAGTTTCATAGAGACAGGAGGGCACCTCTACTTGAGTTTTCTAAAATCGAGCTGCTCATCTTCCCCCTGCCTGCTACTTCTGAGCTTCGTTCAACATCTGCCTCCCCTGCACCTGAGGGCAGGGCTTTTCATCTGTTGGGGTCACTGCTTTGTCCCTAGCCTCTGGGGCCAGATAAGAAATATGTTGTTAGGCTTTGAGGGCTACGTGCAGTCTCTGTGTTTGTTTTCTGTCGCTGCTATAACAAATTACCACAAACACATCACCTTAAACAACATATACTTATTATCTCACACTTCTGTCAGTCAAACTCGATTGGTTTGTCTGCTCCAGGTCTCACAAGGCCATAATCAGGGTATCGGCCAGGCTGTGGGTGGGAGGCTTATGGGGAAGCTTGGGAAGACTCTGCATTCAGGTGTCCACACTTGCTCAGGTCATTGTCAGAATTCAGCTCCGTGCATCCTAGCACTGAGGTTCCTGTGTCCTTAAGGTGTTCTCAAGTTGGGAAGGCACCTGCACCCCCTGGCCAATGTCCCCTGCGAAGCCAGCCTGTCTCTTCTACCTCCTTCCTCTGCTTATAAACATTTGGGGGTTGCTTTGGGCCCACCCGGATAACCCAGCATCATCTCCCTATTTTAAGGTTTAAGGTCAGCTGATGAGTCACCTTCATGTCCAACCCCTTCACAGCAGTACCTTGATGACTGACTGAACAGCCAGGGGACAGCTTTAGAATTCTGCCTGTCTCTGTCACATAGTATTTTTCCCCCCATGGGCCTTTAAAAACATGAAAACCATCCATAGCTTGGGGGCTTTATTTGCCGGCCCCTGATCTAGGCCCATACCTGATTCATGGCAGGTGCTCAGGAAATTTTTTTTGAAAGAATGAATGAGTGAGGCTTTGTTTGCAGACAGGGCACTTGGTGTCAACATAAAAGCTGAATCAGCATTTCTTTGGAGACCAGGCAAGTGGTTAGGACGCAGGCCCAAGGTGTTGGGGTCCTGTTGCCTTCCATGTCTTCTCCACCAACCCCTCAGAGTTCCTTGGTTTTCTTTCAGGCTGGGAACATGGGCTTGAAGGTCAAGCAGCACTCACACAACAGAGCCTTCCTGAGGGGGAGGCATCCCCTGTCACAGAGAAGGGGGCCTTCCTGAGGGATGTTCCCTGTCCTGCCACACTGGGGGAAGACTGGAACCATGAGGGCCAGGTAAAGGCACCTGAGAAGAACCAATTGGAATGTTGCCTCAAGAAAGCACCAATTCAAGATGGAAGCCACGAAAGTCTCAGACTTGTAGAAAATCATGTGCTGAGTTCAAACGCATTCCCAGAGGTTTCTGGGAGAGGATATTTCTGGACTCACAAATCACAGGTTACAAATTCGGAAAGTGACTCCAGCTTAGTGGGTCAGCACGCTGGCTCCTCAGGAGAATGGCCACGTGACAGCAGCTGCAGCTCAGCCTCCCGCCAGGCCGTTGCAGGTATGGAGCTCACGCAGAGCCTGGTGCGGGAGAAGCCCTACAAGTGCACGGACTGCGGGAAGGCCTTCAGCCACAATGCACACCTCACAGTGCACAGGCGCATACACACAGGCGAGCGGCCCTACGTGTGCAGAGAGTGCGGCAAGGCCTTCAGCCAGAACTCCTCGCTGGTGCAGCACGAGCGCATCCACACGGGCCACAAGCCCTATAAGTGCGCTGAGTGTGGCAAGTGCTTCTGCCACAGCACGCACCTCACCGTGCACCGCAGGATTCATACTGGTGAGAAACCTTACGAGTGCCAGGACTGCGGGCGCGCCTTTAACCAGAACTCCTCCCTTGGCCGGCACAGGCGCACACACACAGGCGAGAGGCCATACTCCTGCAGCGTGTGCGGGAAGGCCTTCTCGCGGACCACGTGTCTGTTCCTGCACCTGAGGACGCACACAGAGGAGCGCCCCTACGAGTGCAACCACTGTGGCAAGGGCTTCAGGCACAGCTCCTCCCTGGCCCAGCACCAGCGCAAGCATGCCGGTGAGCAGCCCTACGAGTGCCGCCAGAGGCTGGTCTTTGAGCATACGGCTGCACTGACCCAGCACGAGTGGGCAGATGCCCTAGGCTGCAACCCAGCTTTGAATCCCAGTGACAGTGCTCATCGGAGTGACAGGCCCTTCAAGTGCAGTCAGTGTGGGAAGTGTTTCATTCAGAGCTCACACCTCATCCGGCACCAGGTAACTCACACAAGGGAGGAGCCCCATAGCGGGAACTGGCAGCGGGAGCAGCCCCGTGGCCGGGGCTCGCATCAGCACATGTGCCCAGGCGAGACTCCTGGGGGCGGGACAAAGGCCAGACAGCCTGCAAGCAGGGCGCTTGCCCTATTTGACATCCACAAAATCATTCAAGAGAAAAGCCCAGTGCATGTTATTGGGGTAGAAGAACCTTCTGTGGGCACTTCCGTATTATTTGACATCAGAGACTCCACATAGGAGAGAATGTCTACAGATGACTTTGAACCACAGGTACAAAAATTTGGTAAGTCCACATAGGTATTCACGGAAGGGGGAAGTGGGGGTAAAAATGCCCAAGGTGACTTCTGATTTCCTAAGGAAAGGTGCTTCCCAAACTCCTGAGATTGGTGGTTCTCAAATCTCTCGAGCCCAGTCCCCGTTTAACCACAGATGTTTTGTACTGTTCCTTCTAGGACCCTGAAAGGAGTTCACAAGTGATGTAACCTACATACGTGTGTAATGTCAAAATAATCACTATGCGGCCCCATTTTCTAAAGGATAATTAAAACAGAAGTAATTTATGATAATGTGTACTGAGTTGGTGTGGAATCTCTGCATGTGACTGGTACGTGACACTGGGGACCTGGGCACTGCCTGTTGCTTGCCATCTGATACACAGGGTGTGGTGTTGGCCATGGAAATGTGAGGGGTATTTCTGTAGGGGACCTGCTTTTTCAAAGTGGTGACACTCTTGTAAAAATTTTGGATGAAACAAAATGCCGTTGCACTTCTGGAAAATTCTGTATAAAATTCTAAGCATACAGGAATTGATGTGTGTTTGTATGTGAAGTCAACTTAGGGTCTCAGTTTGTACTTACAGGCAGGTTGTTTCATGCACACAGGGATCCCAGGGGCCAGTCTGCACTTCACAGTCATTAGAGCATGCGTGGCACCCACCCACATCAGCCACACTCATGCCCAAATCAAATGACAAACCAGCATGAAATTCCACAACATTCCCTGGGATGTCACAGCTTCTGTTGAAAACCATTGCCTTGGAACAGCCAGTGCTGCAAGAAGCCTGAGGTTCTCAATCGGTTGGTTTTGTCCCTCAAGAAACATTTGGTGATGTCTGGAGACATTTTGGTTGTCATGACTGGCAGCAGGGAGAGGTGCCACTGGCCTTTAATGGGTACAGGCCAGGGATGCTGCTTAACATTCTGTGATGCCCAAGACATCTCTCTGAACAAAGAAAGGGCCCCATGCGTGTTGAGGTAGAGACACCATGGCCAGCACTATAGCCGACGTTTTCCAAACTCTAAATTGCTTGATCAGTGCTATGCTAACAATCCCATATGTTTGATTTTAACAAATGATATCATTAGCTAGTTTATGCACAATGTGTTTTTTAGTAATTTTTTAACTGTTTTGCAGCATTCATAATTGGTGTGGAGAAAGGAAGAGGATCCATTTATTTTTCTGAGTAATCTAAATTTTAGCATTTTATTGTGGACACTGTAAAACATGGACAATATAATTTCACTGGTACCCCTACCTGCCACAGGATTATTTTCACATGGGTCCCAGAAATTATGTCATTTCATCCATTTTTTCTGAATATGTCTCTAAAAAGGAAGGACTTTTAGAAATAGATATAACCATGTTGGTCCCTGGGAACAAAACCACATCCGTAACCACACTGAGCCATCACCTGCCTTCTTCATAGTGTCGATGTTGCTGTGAAAGGGCAGAAGCGGCGGTGGGTACAATGCTGGGGCCTGAGTGCAAGTCATTCCCCAGGTGGTGCTTCTGATTCTTCCTCATCGGCATTGCAGCAAAGAAAAAAGTGCTCACTTCACTTAAGAATATCTGTGATGAAGCAGGAAGAATTACTAATTTTAGTAAATCTCAAGGAAAACTATAACCATTTTCACATCTAAGTAGAAATAACGTAATTCCTCAATATATCATCAAATGTCCAGTGTTCAGATGTTCCTGGTTGCCTCATAAATTGTGTTTTGTTTTCTACTTGGTTTGTTCTAATCATGATCTAAACAAGATTGATACAGTTGCATGCAGTTGATATTTTTCAAAGATCTCTTTCCATCTACAGGCCTCTCTTTTCTATGTTTTTGTTTGTTTGTTTGTTTTTGTTTTTTAAGATTTTTATTGGGGAATTGGGGGAAGGGAACAGACAAGTTGCTGTCCTTTTGTTCTTCAGTCTAGTTGTGGAGGACGTCGCTTCACTGGCCCATGTTGGTATTATCATTGCGCTCTTCCCGGGTGAGGCAGTCACTTGCCAGCCATTGGACAGCCGCTCATGGCAGCTCATGAAAGTGCACGCCAGCTGCCGGCCAGCCCCACTGCAGCCTACACCATCGCCGGCGGCTCACGGCAGCCCAGCTCCAGGTCGAGCTGTTGTTCACCATCTGAGCTGTAGAGGGCACAACGTCACTGGCCCTCATGTGGGATCCAAACCCGGGCCCTGATGCTCAGTGCTGACATCCCAAGCCAACTCCTAACCAATGTGCCACTCAGCCGGCCCTTTTTTAGTCTTTTATTATTTAGTCTTCTGGAGAAAAAAAGAAACCAATAGGATAAACTAAATGTTGTCCCCATCTCAGGCCTGCCCATCAGACTCTCCTTCAACAGGCCTGTTGAAATGACTTCTGATTTGGCATCACGCCACTGGATCGTGTTGAGGGGTCTTGTGGATTGTGGGACTCCCACTGCCCTCAGAGTCCCCTCTTGCATGGCGTCTCTGCTGGAGGCCTCAGCTGCCGGTGCCAAGTACAGCCACACCTCTGAGAAATTTTTTTTTTTTTTAAATACGATGCAGGACATGCTAACATGACCATTTTAATGTGACAGTTCAAAACTTCGCCTTGATTATCTCATTGCTTTCCTCCAGTTTTACACCAGAGGAGAGCAAAGCTTTCTGACCTGTGTCCATGCTGTTCTTGACATAAAGAACATTGTCTTCTAGGTGTGATCCTTAGTGTCTCATAGCCCAAGGTATGTAAAAACCAAGGATTCAAGCTACCTGCTTTCTCACCTAAAATAAGCATGCATAAGCGAGATGCCTGTTTCAATGGGACTACTGTCACAGGCACCATTATACAGAGTAGTGGCCTTTGTTTCCTGTTCCCACTGCAGTTGCATTCTAGTGAAGTCAGATATAGACCATAAACATCAAAAATTGGAAGGAAGGAATACTGATCACGGCATATCTCAGCTCATTGAAATTGTTTCCTAAAAACATCCTGCAGAACAAATGTTGGGTTGGCAGAACATGGAGTCGAACGGAAGAAATGGGAGTCCTGGAGAGATACAGCAGCAGTTCTGATAGCTTTGTTGGAACGATTGAACATTAGGACTCACTGTCAAGCGTCATGGTTGAGTGTCGGAACTCTGTCACAACCTTTCCTGTCCACTTGTGTTCTTCAGATGCTGTGAGTGCCACAACAATGGGGTTTCTGTGGTGGCAGAACTGGCTTTGCAGCTCATCTCCAGGTTCTGTCTACGAGATCCTCTCGAAGTCCCAGGTGTGTTTTTGTGGTCCCAACTTCCCTCTGGGGTTGTCCTCGCATATCTCCCTTGTCAGCCCTTACTTTTCATAGCTCTGTCCTCACACCTCGGCCACATCACCTTCCATTTCATTCTTGGCAGATAGCCTTCCATTTGCATTGCTAAGAAAAGGTGTTTTTTCAGACAGACAGGGCTTCAGTGATGGTTCTGTGAGGTAGTATTATTCTATATATAAGGAAGATAAAGCATGGGACAAAAGTACACAGTAACTAGAACAAAAGTAACCATCCCGAGGTTACACAGCCAGGAGGTGGAGATACAACTTGAAGTCAACACCCAGTTAACAGTGGCTTTAAACAAATAAGGTTTTCTGTGAAGGTTGTCCCTGCAGCACCTCAGCTACTTCAGAGGCAGTGTTTTCTGCAGCTCTTGCAACCTTTCCCTCAGTTGCAGTGAGGCTACTGTGGCCTCTGCTATTGCATCCAAATCAAGACTGGAAGGGGGGGAAGGTCAGGCCAATGCTAATCTCTGATGAGGTTTCAAAGAAAAGGCTGCCCCAGAAGCCTCCAGCAAATGCCCACTTATGGCCCAGATGGGGTCACACGGCCACCCCTAGTAACATAGGGATTTGAAGAGCTAGTATTTAACTTTCACAACCTCTGTGGCAGGGACCTGTACCCTGAGAAAGGGGCTTGGGAAGTGGGTAATGGGTCGGCAACCAGCAGCATCTGCCACCTATCTCCTCCAGTCTTGCCAGGCTCCCTGTTGCTTGATCAGGCGCCACTTACTCTCAGCCCCATCACTTCGTCTCCTGGATTGTCCAGCCTGATGGCAGGGCCCTCCCCATCGCAATGCCCAGTGCCCGGTATTCTGGGATCCTGCCCTCTTCTGGATCCCTTCCACCTCTTGAGGGCCTTCTTGTCCTCCCCCTCACCTCTTAAATGTTGGGGTCCCCAGGACAGTGCCTGGGAGACCCACCTTGTACTCCATACCCTCCCCAGATGTCCTCATCTACACCCATGTCTTTATGCTGCTCACTGCCAAATCTTCGCCTCTGGTGCTGAGTTCTGAGCTTCAGGCTGAACAGAAATGTGTGCTGCTGGGCAGCTCAAACCAGTCACCCTTACCCCAGTCCCTTTCATGGGTACGTCGCCACCACCATCCCATCCCTAGAGCCAGAAGGTAGGTATCCTGTTGGCCTCTGTGGCCTCCCTTTGTATCTACTTTGTGGGCCTACCTCTAAAGCCTTACCACCTAAACGTCCACTCCCCACCTCATCCTGTCTTTACTATCACCACCACCAGTGCTGGACAGCCCTGAGAGAAGTGACAGGTCACCAAGTGGCCCAGCCACCAAAGTCCCACTTTTGACTGTTCCTTTTCACTCCCCATCAGTGGTATGGGGTGCAGACTCAGGAATGCTTCAGATACCAGTGCCCTCTGGGAAGCAGAGACCTGGCTGTGACTTAATGGTTCTAGACGGCTCCAGAAGCTGGGCCTGAGATTGCCCCGTTCCCTCCCTTCACCTGGGCTTTGAAATGGCAGCCCCTGAAGGGTCATGTTTTCATGGTTTTCAGAATGGACGCTGGGTGAGCTGAGGTCACAGTGGCCTCGCTGAGTAAGCTGGGAACCAGCTTGTCACTGTTGGCACACGCCTCCCTGCCCTGGGCAGCAAACATCTTGGCAAATTTTCAATTTCTTATTTCGCATCACATTTTATAGGCATAATGCTCCTACTGATTTCCTCATAGATATTTGTAAACAGGCAGATAAGAAACTCCTCGGGAAATTATAAGCTAGTGAAAATACATGGTTTCATTAGTTTATAAAAGTAATGCAAATTCTTTGTTAGCAAAACCTGGAAAGTGTACAAAAGTAAAAGAATATACAAAAGTATGAAGATTATTTAAAATTTAATTCTTCATACTTCTACCATCCCTAGATGGTCATTACCATTAAGATTTTGTTAATTGTCCTTGTAATTATTTTCTTTAAAATATGTATGTATACATATAGTGTAACAGTAAACCTTATACACACAAAATACATGTATATGTAGTTATGATTAGAAAATTGGACTCCCTCCTGAGTCTCTTGTAACATGTGCTTCTTACTATATTTTGAGCATTTTTCTCTGACAGTGAATTTCATGTAGCTTTTTAAATTACCTTTTAGGAGGACTGTGGCAATGTGCCCTCCACCCAGCATTTTACCAGCCTTTTATCCAAAAGGAGGAGGAGACTTTTGTACAGTTTCAGGAGGAATATGCATTGATACAGCCTCTGTGGAGGGTGGCTTATCAGTTGCTAGCTAACTTACAAACAGAAACCCTTTGTCTCAGCAAATCTGTTTCTGGGCATGGATCCTACAGGTATTTGTATGCATGCAGACTGTTTGTACATGGTTTTCACTACAGTGTTGATTTCAAAAGTGAAAATTTGGAACCAACCTCAGTGGCCACAATGGGGAACTAGCTAAGTGACTTATGGTGTGGAATGGAGAACGACACAGACTTAAAAATGGAGACTGTCTTTATGTACTAATGTGGGAAGAGTTCCAAGATACAGTGTTAAGTGAAAAAGTGTAAACTGTGTGTAGTATGTTTCCCATTTGTGTAAAGAGGAAACATTTGCTTACACACACACACACACACACACACACACACACACGCGCGCGCGACATGAAAATCTACAAAGTAACAATTGTTCTTAGGGAGGAGAAATGGAAAGGGATGAGGAATAATTTTCAGCCTATATCTTTATTTTATTAAAGATTTTATTGGGGAATTGGGGAAGGGGAACAGACAAGTTGCTGTCGTTTTGTTCTTCAGTCTAGTTTTGGAGGACGTTGCTTCACTGGCCCATGTTGATATTATCATTGCGCTCTTCCCGGGTGAGGCAGATGGGGTTGCCAGGCCCTGGACGGCCACTCATGGCGGCTCTTGGCAGCTCACGGTGGCTGCCAGCCACTCACGTCAGCTACCAGCCACTCACAGTAGCTTTACAGCAGCCCACTGCAGCCTATGCCATCGCCAGCAACTCACAGCAGTCCAGTTCCAGGTCGAGCTGTTGTTCACCATCTTAGCTGTAGAGTGCGCAGCATCACTGGCCCTCATGTGGGATCCAAACCCCAGCCCTGCTGCTCAGAGCTGGCATCCCAAGCAAACTCTTAACCAACGCGCCGCTCAGCCGGCCCTCAGTCTGTATCTGTTGATATTTTTGGAATTTTGAAACATGTCAAAGTTCACTAGTTCAAAAAATTAACAAAAATCTCAACTCTTTCAAAAATCAAAGTTTGATAATTTGTTTCATTGTTTACTGACTCTACTAAAACATCCATAGGACCTTGTCTCTTGGCCACACCTGTTCTGCATGTACCCACACGTTTGTGTGTGTGTGTGTGTGCGTGTGCGTGTGTGTGTGCTAACAGAACCAATTGAGTATAAAATAGCTTTGACTCCATGATGTTTCTTGCAAGCTGGTTGTAGCACATCAATTTCCAAGTTATTTTATTAAATTCCCTATATCAGTCAGCCCAAATTATGAGAGTACACACAAATTGTTTCTAATAGCTAAGTCTCCCATTGTCATTATCTCCTTACACATTCTCAAAGTCATTTGTGCAAAGGGTGACTAGGAAACAATCTGAATTCAGTCTGAAAAGCATTTTCCCTTAGGCCTCTTGTAAGGAGATCCAAGGTGCCGTCTTCCAGAATACGCTGTCCAACGTGCTACCCATTAGCCACGTGTAGCTATTTAGATGTAATTTTTTTGTTTGTTTTTTTAGTTTTATTGGGGAACAGCCATGGTCATTGGTTACACATTGCTTTCATGCCACAATAATATAGTTGACTCTTCTAGGGAGGGCGCAGCTCACACTGGCCCATGCGGGGACCAAACCATCAACCTTGGTGTAATCAGCACCACGCTCTAACCAACTGAGCTAACCAGTCACCCCTAGATGTAATTTTAAATTAACCAAAATTGGGCCGGCTGAGGGGCTCAGTTGGTTAAGAGTGCGAGCTCTGAGCAACAGGGTCGCCGGTTCGATTCCCACATGGGCCAGTGAGCTGTGCCCAAGCTGAGCTGCCACTGAGCTGGTGAGAGTACATGCTGTTAGCAGCAAGGTTGCCGGTTCCACACCCATATAGGATGGTGGGCTGCACTCCCCCTGCAACTAAGATTGAACACGGCACCTTGAGCTGAGCAGCCACGAGCTGCGGATGGGTGGCTGGATGGCTCATTGTGCAACAAGGTTGCCAGTTTGACTCCCACATGGGATGGTGGACTACATGCTCCCCCCTGCCCGCACCCCCGCAGCTAGATTGAAAGAGGTGACTGGACTTAGAGCTGAGCTTGTGCCAACCACAACTAAGATTGAAGGACAACAACTTGACTTGGAGCTGATGGGTCCTGGAAAAACACAATGTTTCCCTTCCCCAATTCCCCAACACTGTTCCCCTCCCCTTTCCCAATAAAAATCTTAAAAAAATAAAAATTAACTAAAATTAACATAAAAATTCAGTTCCTGGGTCACACTAGCCACATTTCAACTGCTCACTAGTTACAGATAGAACACTTCCATCATCATCTCAGAAAGTTCAGTGTAGGTAGGTGGCTAAGAGGATTTTTATTTTTTTAACTCTCCCCTCATGACCAACTGACTGTAGTGGGAATGAAGGATATTGACATGTAAGCCTATGCATCAGGATCCTGCTTCACCAGGTGACACAGGCCTTCCACCTGTGGATGACATTTTCATGTCCCACGTTGTACCCAGGGATAGCCCTTAATTAGGGAAAGTAATTTACCTCACACAGGGACTATCCACTGTTGATTTTTAGGGAGTCATCGTGGATATACAGAAGAATGAATGTACAGGATTCATTGCATATATTTATCATAGCTCAATTCCCATCTAACGGTTGGGAGGGTGATTTTGTGATTTATAATAAGAAACATATTTGGTCTTTGTCCCCCAGCTTCTGGCACAGAGTAAAACCTGTGGAATTTCCTAAGTGATGAAAGCATAAAGGTGTCTTGTTATGTGAATGATGTGACTTTTGAATTCCATCTAAGGATGGGGGCTGGTCACCAGGAGAACCAACCCTGTGATTGAAGGTTGGAGCTTTCAGTCCCATCCCTGACTTCCAGGTGGGCAGAGGGGCTGAAGGTTGAGTCAGTTACCAATGGCCAGTGATTTAATCAGTCGCACCTATGTAATGAAGCCTCCATAAAAACCCAAAGGATAGGCGTCAGGGAGCTTCTGGGGGATGAGCACGTGGAGGTGCTGGGATAATGACACACTTGGAGAGGGCATGGGAGCTCTGCACACTTCCCCCATATCCTCCCTTGTGCATCTCTTCCATCTGGTTATTCCTGAGTTACAGTTGTTCCCCCTTAACCACAGGGGATATGTTCCAAGACACCAAATAGGTGCCTGAAACCACGGATAGTACCAAACCCTATATATACTATGTTTTTTCTTATATATATATATATATATATATATATATATGTACCTATGATAAAGTTTAATTTCTAAATTAGGCACAGTAAGAGATTAATAATAATAAGATGCAATTATACACTGTACAGGGCCGGCTGAGTGGCTCAGTTGGTTAAGAGCTCGCTCAAGAGTGTGAGCTCTGAGCAACAGCGGTTCCATGCCCTGCCTAAGCTGAGCTGCCACTGAGCTGCCAACAGGTGGCATGTTGGCTCAGCTAGTAAAATAAATAAATAAAAATAAAATAAAATGTAATTATAACAATTATACACTGTACGGGGCCAGCTGAGTTGTGCGTTGGTTAGGAGCTGGCTTGGGACACCAGCTCTGAGCAGCAGGACTCCAGTTCGGATACCACATGAGGGCCAGTGACACTGCCCTCTTCAGCTAAGATAGCGAATGGCAGCTCGACCTGGAGCTGGGCTGCAGCCCCTGCTGCAGTGGGCTGCCATAAGCTACCATGAGTGGCCAGCAGCCGGTGTGAGCTGCCAAGAGCCACCGTGAGTGGCCGTCCAGAGGCCGGCGACCGATCTGCCTCATTTGGGAAGAGCGCAATGATAATACCAACATTGTCCAGCAAGGCAACATCCTCCACAACTAGACTGAAGAACAAAAAAGGACAACAACTTGTCTGTTCCCCTTCCCCAATTCCCCAACGCTGTTCCCCTCCCCCAATTCCCCAATAAAATCTTTAACAACAAAAAAAATTATGCACTGTAATAAAAATTATGTGAATGTGGTCTCTCAAAGTATATTACACTATACTCACCCTTCTTGAGCTGATGTGAGTTGATACATGCCTATGTGATGAGATGAAGTGAGGTGGACACACTGGACAAAGGGACGATTCATGTCCTGGGCAGGACAGAATGGGATGGTGCAAGATTTCATCAAGCTACTCAGAACGGGGTGCAACTTAAAACTTATGAATTCTTCATTTCTAGAATTTTCCAGGTAATATTTTCGGACTGAAGTTGACTGTGGGTAACAAACATTGGCCACTAAACTGCGGATAAGAGGGGACAACTATATAACCTTTTATAATAAACCATTAATCTAGTGAGTCAATGTGTTTCTTGAGGTCTGCGAGCCACTCTAGCAAATTAAACCCAAGTAGGGGGTTGTGGGAACCTCTAATTGATAGCCAGTCTGTCAATATTAAGGACTGGACTTTCAACCAGGGTCTGCAGGGGGCACAGAAGGGTCTTGTAGGACCCAGCCCTCAACCTTTGTAATCTGATGCTATCTCCAGGTAGATGGTGTTAGAATTAATTGCTTGTTGGTGTGTAGGAAATTGCTCCCCGCACACATTGTAGCTGGGCGCAGAACCAGCAGAAGGCTGTAAATAAATTATGGTAAATTCATACAATAGGAAACTATGTAGCCATGTAACAATCATTTTTTTTAAAATGTTTAATGGAGAAATGTTCAGGGTCAGTAGGAAAAGAACAGGAGTATGTACAAACAGGTTAATTGTTTTAAATTATATACGGGAACAATCAGACATCTAAATTGTAGGACAATTTGGAAAACTGGATACATAAAAAATGTCAAGATTATTTTTAAAGAGAAAGGAAAGAAAGAAAAGGCTGAAAATCCGTTCTAGATTGAAGCCAACTCAAGAGGAACAAGAGGATTTGATTTGGGCTTGAATAAAAGATAAAAACAAAAAGGTAGGTAGGACGTTATTGGAAGAAATTAACATGGACTGTAGCCCAAGGAAAGGTTTGTTTTCAACGTCGTTTCTTGGGTGGATGCAAGCTTGTACTTGTCCTAAGGGGACATTTGCTGAAGGATTTAGAGGATATACAGGGTTTAGGGGGTAAAAAAAAAATCCCCAAACTATATACCTATTTTATGTGTGTGTACACGTATGTGTGCAAGGAGAAAAAGGTACAAATGCTGTAAATTTTAAACATACGTAAATACACGTCTCGTTCCACTCGCCATCAGTGCAGAGCGACAGGGTCCCACGCTCCCTTCCCGGCGCCGCCGCGCCCTGGACTCCATTTCCCAGAAGGCCATTCATCCTGTGCCCGGCTGGTTCCAGGCACGCAACGCGCAGGGCCCTCTGGGAGATGAAGTCCCGGGCGGATCGCGGGCTACTTGGCGGAAGTGCAGACCACACGTGCCGTAGTCGGGTGTGCGCAGGCACCTGGGCGTGTGAGCGGAGGCGCTCTGCGGCAATGTGAGGAAGTGGCAGCTGTGGGGAGTCCGTGGACCCGACGGGGCAGCCAGTGTTAGTGTGAGAGACGGAGAGGGCTGCGAGTGCACGCGGTGTGACTGACCGAGTGGATTGGGGTCCGGCAGGGG